AAATAGGAATCCAAAAAGCAGAGGGAGATGGTGACTCAGTGCAAAGAGGCTCCAAGGGCAAAATATCTTTGGGAAAAAGGACGAGAGAAGTTCAGCGTGGCTGAAGGATGTTGGTGAAGCTTTGTCAAGTTTTGAGACTAGGAGGCAGATGAGCACCATGCTGGGAAGGCTGTTACATTCTTTTAAAAATATATGTTTGGGGGAATCATTTATCTAGTTTGTCACAGAAATTCAGAACCACACTTGTGAATTTGAAAGCATTTTCAGTAGTAGAAACACCATCAGAAACTGTCACAACAAACAATTATTAAGTGCTAGTATTTTGAGCTCAGGGTCAATGTATTAGAATGTTTCTACTTATCACAAGCAAACATTTTTAGGGAAAAGAAGGAATTTAAATTTCTTATGGCTGATTTTTTTAACCGGATTTATACAAGTCATACTCTTCAAAATGCTTCTTCAAATATAAAATATGAGTCAAATCTGCATTATTTAAAATCTGACGAAAGTTAAAAAAATTATTAGGTTTGCTTTAGGTCCATGTATGACAACACATTATCCATGAACATTTTATACTCTCTATAATGCTTTTTAGGTTTCTGGTTCTGGGTACAATAGAGTAAATATGCTCCACCTAGTCTGGCCCACAGAATACAGCTGTAAAACCTGGTCAGAAAGTATGGAACAGGTACTGGAGGGCTGTGAAAAGCAAATAGCAGCAGGTCAATTGAAGAAGAAAACCAGAATTAAGAGTACTACCAAACCAGCTGTAAGGTTAGCATTTTGTTGTCGTCTGATATCTCCCGACCTAGACTCAAGGCCACTTGATCTATTTCAGTCGTTACTAATGTCTATTGTTAAACTGGCATTTGAAATGGATTACTGCTACTAGCTGTAGGACTTGACCAAGTCTCTTTCTGTCTCTGGGCCTCCTCTGTAAAGTGGGCTGCCTGATCACATGCTCTTGGAGGTCTCACCCAGGGCTGATGCTCCAAGACTTCACACATGACCTCTAAGGAGCACCAAGAGGCAGAGTTATGAAGCTAATGAGGCTGCAGCTGAAGGCCAGCCCCCCGCCCCCAAGCCTGGTGACCATATGAGTTTGTAAAATTTGTCAACTTAAGATATTTAACCACAATTGGTTAAGACCCTTGTCTCTTTCCACTGTGGCTTCCCTTTATGTCAGGTCTCATTTTCGTGTTTTGTGTCCTTTTCCTTAAAGAGGAGTCCCCAAATTATATAAGCCTCAGAACTTGAAAACTGGATCTGCCCCTGTCCTATTCAGGTAGTTATAACCAAGATGGCATTCAACTAGAGATTTCTTTCTGAGTCATGTGTAAGAATGCATCAGGTATTTTATTGGAAATTAATTAACAAGTTCTTGTCTTAGCTTCAAGAAAGGAAACACCTACTTTTCTTTCAGTCACAGCGTCACATGACTTCTTCAGGGCTTCTTGGAATTCTAACACTTTATGTTCATTATCTGTTTCATGACTATAAGCTTCACAAGAATAGGGACCATGTCTTTTCTATTTTCTGACGTGTCCCCAGCATCTGTTGCAATGTCTGACACAGAGTAAGTACTCCATAAACATTATCAAGGTAATGCGTTAATTTATGAAGACCTGTTATATTCAAATATGCCTTGTCTTTTTCCATGAAGAATTTGAGACTGAGCGCGCCTATTCTGGGCCAAGTGCAGAAAGTTGCAAGCTCATTTAGAAGTCCATTAAAAGTGTCTTACTGGTTAATTTGAATGCCCAGGATACGAAACACTTGCTGCCAATGCTGAGAGTATGTGAAACCCTTCTTCTCTTCTTGCAAAGCACTATTCCTCATTTAAAAGGCACTGAATGAACCAGAATTCAGACTTCGATGGCCAAAAAGACCCCCTTCTTCCCTTAACTGCGGACAGGTAGATTCTCCCTTGGGCCGCCTTGATGAATAAATCAAATGCCCCTCTTTCATAGTCACATCTTTTCTAATTGTAGAGACTAGACTATGGACCTCTCAAGGGTGGTGGCAGTTCTTCAAATGCCCCCCTTGTTTTGCCACATCCCACAGCCTAGGAGCTGCCTTTCTTTCCTGCTCACGTCTTCCAGGTCCAGCTGCTTCAGTATTTTCTACAATGGTAACAGCAAAATCAGCAGCTGAGAAGAAGTCTATATCCAGGAGCAGAAAGACAATAGAGCTCAGGAGGGAGAGAAACAGCAAATGATGGAGCTTCAAAAGAATAGCAGAATGACAGGAAGAGGGAATTAAGAAGAGAAAGTGATGTGGGAATTACCTAAGCTAATTACATAATCTCATCAAATGAAGATTCCCAAAAGTAAATGTAAATTGTGGAAGGCGCAACAACTCTAGAGCGCAGAGAATTCTGTGCTTATAATATAAATATTCACCAGGAAAAAAAATTAGCATTTGGGTAAAGAAGAATAGGCAGGTCCTCTCTGTTGAGTGGTTGTTTGTGATTGCTGTTTCTAAACTCACCGCACCCCGTTGCAATCGGCCGGCCGTTCTTGTCCTGAGCAGCAAAGGGATGTGGGTGGTGTGGGCCAGGGAGGGGGCTGCCTATGTGGCAAGCCATGACAGGTTCTCATTTTGATTCTCCTCAAGCTCTGTGGGTGCTCTGCACCTCAAATTCCCAGCTTTACTCTGGATAATGAGGAAATTATTGGCCTGACCTGGTCCTTTAATTTTTTTTCCCACTCATGGCTTGAGCTTTCATTAGTTTTCATTTCTCATTAAGAGAAAAATCAAAGAGTGAGAATTAAACACCTCTTGATTGTTATCCTACTGAAAACAGGAAGTTGAGAGTCATGGGGCTGGAACTGAATGAAAGGCCCAGCTGAGATGAGTGAGCCACCAAAGGATATGTCAGCAGGCATTGGCTGTCCGCCTTCTCCTCCCTCTTGAGAACAGTAGGGAGCAATCTAACACCCAGAAATACTTGGAGTCTACATTTAGGACTCGGTGTTGTAAAAATCTGGCACATTCTCTGAGCAGAGATAAGAGGCTGAAATCACATTGGGCTTTCCTCTTTTCAAGCATTGGGTTTGGATTTGCATTAAACCTTACCCCTATAGACGCCGCTCCTCAGATATAGAGGCTGTGTCCAACCCACCTGTCAATTTCTTACAGGCACGTTGCAGTATGTCAGGTACGTGGCAGGTGTTCGGCAAATGAATGGAGAGGGTGAAGGAATGCACGCGTGCTGAGATGAACTGACTGTTCTTACTTTCTGTTTGTGTGCTTATTGAATATACCCCACCTCACTACATAAAGGAAATAAAAACAGTATGGCGGTTTCTCAAAAAAAAATTAAACATAGCCTTACCATATGGTCCAGCAATTTCAATTAGGTATATACCTAAAAGAATTGAAAGGAGGTGCCTAAACAGATACTTGTACACCAGTGTTCATAGTAGCATCATTCACAATAGCCAAAAGATAGAAACAAAGCAAGTGCCTATCAACAATGGACAATCTGGATGAATGGACAATCCAGATGATGTATATCCATACAATGGAAAATTATTCAGCCTTTAAAAGCATGGATATTCTGACACATGCTACAAATGGATGAACTACATGAAATAAGCTAGGGACGAAAAGACAAATATTCAATGATCCTACCTATATGAGGTAACTAGTTATTCTTTAATGGGTACAGGGATTCAATTTGCAATGATGGAAAAGTTCTAGAGATGGATAGGGCTGATGGTTGCACCATAATGTGAATGTACTTAATGCCACTTAATTGTAGGCTCAAAAAAAGTTAAAATGGTAAAGTTGATGGCTGTATATTCTACTGCAATAAAAAAGGAAATAAAGCAACCTTCGTTCAATGTACTGAAATTCCTGAATCAACCCAGAGAACAACAGCGCTGCCAGTATAGTTTGATTCCAGCTGTATGTGAAGAAGAGGCCACACTGCCTCAAGGGTACGTGGGCTTTCATGACCTTCACAGCTGTGCAGGCCCCCTTTTCCCATGTGGATCCCTAAAAACATTCATGACTCTACCATACAGTGCACCTGCCCCCGGGCTTCTATGGCTGGAAATTACAGGAGAATCTGCCTTGTCCCATGAATTGTACCACCCATCTGATGATTACTCACTTGTTACTGCAGACCAGCCTCCAAGGGACAAACTAGCGGTAAACCTCTTTGGGTTCACTTTTTCTAGACTCCCAGCCTAGAGGAGCAATACCAGAGCTCAGTATTACAGACAGAAGGGACTGGGTTTGAATTTCAGTTCTCCATATTATTACTTGTGTGGCTTCAGGAAACTCACTTAAGTACACCTCAGTTTCCTCATCTATAAAATGGGAATATGACCGTACCTACCTCACAGAGTTGTGCGAAGGCCTAAATGAACTAATAATATAAGTGCCTAACAGAGTGTCCACAGTAAAATGAGTATTCAATGAATACAATTTTCATGGAAGAGATACATTACAGGTGGTAACAGGGATAGAGTGAGGATGGTCATTCATGTCATGATAGGAGTTGAAATCTAGGCCCTGTACAGTCTGAACCTTGCACAGGCCAGCCAACCAGGAGGAGCCTCAGGAATGAGCAGGGATACCAGCAGGTGATTAAATGGGGCTTTCTAGGGGGATAGGTAGGTCTCAAAGAATCCTTTTTACTTCTTCTCATCACTCACCCAATTCCTTAATCTCTGGGGGTAGTCTCCTTTTGGAGATAGATGTATATCATTTTCTTGCATCTACTAGAAAGTTTACTCATTCATGCTTAGGAAATATCTTCAGACCTGAATATCCAAAGAATTTAGGATGATGTTAACATAATGCCAAGTAAACAGAAAACCCATTAAGGAGAGTTCTAGGATGAAGTCATTCCCGTCCCTGTGATGGTGCGGACGACCTCTGGCTGCACAGTAAGACTTCTCCATGATTTCAGTCAATCAGCCTATCATACTGATAGTGTTGAATTGAACTCACTAACTTTAATTATTTTCTTAATTTTAATTATTCAGGTGCATCTTCCCAAAACCTGGAGAGATTTCTAGAAACGTAAGTGAAAGAGGGATATATGAAGTTGTTTTTAGATTGGGTTTCCCGTTGTGAAGAAAGAAGGGAAACCCTCTGTTGTCACCCTGTAATCACTTGTACTGAGCACCAAAACCTTGCTAGTCACTCCCAAACACTGGAACATTATCACTTCTTGGGCCGGTGGACATGGGAAGTGATTAATTTGCATATGTCCTTGAAGAAGGATCATAAAAATGCGTACAAAGGGGGTCAAACTTAAGTACAGCCAAAGTAGCTGAAAAAGGGCAAAAAAAAAAAATATTTCATTTTCCTACTTTATGTGCTCATTTTGAGCTTAAAATTCAGAAACAAGGCCCAGGGTGCCCAGAATGGAAACCTTGGGAAACCCTGGAATTTCAAAAGTTCGATACAGGAGCTCAGCCATCAGAATGTCCTACAAATCTGGACAGAAGGAAGCCAGTAACACTTGAGGACAAACGCTGTGAAAAATCCTAAGAAGATGGTACCGTGTGCGCCTCCTGGAGACTTCAATCTGCTCTTTTCAATTCTATGCATTTATGTGGTCTTTCCCTCATGGGGAAGTAATTTACAAATTATACAGAAGAAGGGGGAAATGGGAAGAGTGATTCTGAAATGAAAGAAAAATAGCAAAAAGTTACCAAAGTGGGAGACATACAAAGATCCTTTCATGGGCCTAGGCTGTGACATTGGCTGTGACAAAGTTCAGTTTCTGAGGGCTTGCCATTCACAGTCCATCTCTGGCTTCTCAGTTTGTCTAGGAACCAACTGTTGGACCATCCAGCCATCGTCATATATGCCATGATTGGAAATGATGTCTGCAAGGGGTGAGTTATGGAGAAAGAAGGTTTTGAAGATGCTTGGGCTCTGGGGTCCCCCTCTTCTCTTCTCCACTCCACTGTTACACTAGCCTGCTGTTGAGTTGAATTTCTCTGTCTTAGCAAGTCCTAGACACATATGAAATTGAAAGAACCAATGCGTGAAGCTGAAAGACCCTTTAAAAAATATCTGATCCATTAATTCTCTGCTCTGATTCCCAACAAATGGGTATGTCACGATACAAGTTCTCAGTTGTATCACAAGATACATGCTGCTACTAGCCAAGAATCCAAGACTGAATATCATGGCCTTTTAAGTAAAATAAAGCCGAATTATAGCTACCCCATAAGAATAGGTTCCTCACTCACATTCTGATGTGGTAGAGACAGCATAGGCTCAGAGCATTCGCAAACAAACTGTGTATAATTTACAGCCAAACCTACTTATGTCCATGGCCCATAGTATGAAAACAGTTTTGCTAACCAGCTAATATAGGTAGTGATTTCAAAATGTTGAATGCCTTAGTCTCCCATAACATTTTGGAAGGTTTCTCAAAAATGGTGTGTACCCCTAAGAATATGCTGCACATGTGAATTCCATCTGTCCTGTGATTGTGGCCAAAAAGAAAGAAAAAAAAAAAAAAGGTGAGATGAGATCTAGAAAAACTCCCCAGTAGCCACCCACCCACCATTTTTGAAAACAGAAAAGTAAAGCCAAGAGAGATTATGTGACTTGCCTGATTAATCGATTAATGGCAGAGATGGCCTCCAACCCAAGTGATACCAGAAGTAGGTCATCCTACTCACTGCCCGTCCTTTGCTTTCACTCACCAAGCTTTCTAGGCCCGCGCCAAAAACCCAGTTCAATATTAGTTAAGTGTGTTTGCTCTCACCAACAGCTCCATGAGGTAGGAGAGCCCTGGAACTCTCACGGTGAAGGAGGTGTAGACCTAATTAGTGAAGTGAGTTCAGGTCAGGAGATACCATGCTGCGATGAAGAGATGCCGATGTGCTAGACCCCGCCTTGGCACCCCCTGGGCTGGTTTGCCACCCTCCCCAGAACCCCAAGGCTCCCAAGGCCCCACACTGGGGTCCCAAGTCCCAACTTCTGTGATGAGCCACATGGAACTCACTGGTAAATAACAAACACCCCCCAAACTCTCCATGAACCAATAGTCACACCACTCCCTAGATCATCTCATCCCCACAGCAGCTTTAAGAGGAAAGCATGATTGCCCCTATTTTATAGATGAAGAAACAGGTTCGGCAAGGTTAAGGAACTCGCTTATGTTGCTATGAGTAGCAAGGCTGAGAGGCAGACCAGGTTGTCTGATGAAGTTCTGTGCTCTTTCCATAGTCCACACCTGCCTTAACCGCTTTCTTTTAGGCAATCACTTTTTTAAACATATGTACTGACCACCTATGATGTGCCAAATGCTGTGCCAGGCTCTGGGACATAATGGCAAAGAGCCCACAGTGCCTGACCGCAAGGAGCTTAGGGAAGGAGAAGCACTGAGCTTCAGCCTCAGCCCCATCACAAAACAGAATGAACCTATGTCACAACGGCCAATGCCCCTCCAGCCTCTGGATCATGTTCCCCCGGAGGGGACACAGAGCAAACTGGGGATAGTGAGCCCAGAACACCTGCAGAAAGAGGCTTTGACTCCAAGAGCCCAAACCCCTGCAACTGCATTTTCCAGCAGAACCTGCTTACCCAGAGGCCCTTCCAGCCCAGGCTTGCTTTTCCTTTTCCAAGGAGCCAAAGGGCAGGCAGACATCAGCCAGAGACCTGTGCCAGTCTCTCCCCCAGCCAGGGATCTGGGCAGAGGAGCAGCAAGCATTTGGGGGAAAGAACGGGGTTGGCAGCGTGGGATGTCCCTGCAGTGCCCACTTTGCAATGTCCTGTGGTGGGGTTAGAAAAATAAAGACAGATGGCAGCAATACCTCCCCATCTGCCAGCACGTCAAGGTGGAGTAGACAACCCAAAATGAGCAAAGCGATCTCATAAAAAGCTCAAGCCAGCAACGAGTTGCATAATAAGTCCGTCCTGGAACAAGTTTGGGGATATTTGCTCGACTTTTTTCTTTCCTTTTTTTATGATGACACTAGCATTTACTGAAATAATGCAGCCATGTGCTTCTCTCTCAATTCTCCAAACTCACGCAGTTACTCAACAAATACGTGCTAAATGAATGAAGGTCATGATTGGAAGATAGCTTTTTAATGTCTGGAATTTAAGAAGAAAGGTAACATAGACAAACACAGCTTTCCCCTGTGACTCCACTCAGTCTGGCCAAAGCTAACCCAGCTTCCCTGGCTTTTCCTATCACTCCCCTTGAAAGCTCTGGAATGTCTGCGATACAAAAGGAGAAAAATGCCTGGGAATAGGGCAAATTTGAGTGAGCTACAGCAGCAGAACCTTGAGTAGCAGGGGCGGCCTGGGAAAGGGAAATGGCTGTAAGGACCTCAAATCATAAACCCTTCCTCCACCCCCCAACATGACATCCCTGAGAAGAATGTCAAAATTGCCAGAAGTGAGATAGAATTATAAAACATCTAATACTAACCACGTATATTGACATGGTTCCATTTTTTTATAGTGGACCTAGACAAAATTAATTGTACATTTTTCACCTAATGAAAAGAGCCAGGACCACCCTACAAGGGTTGTCTGTGTCCCCCAGCACCCAAGCATTTCTTTTCTGCAATGCCAATGCTTCCGATGTCACTAGGACAGCCGATCAGCACTGCATTAAGAGGAAACCAGCAGGGGTAACTGGGTGATGGACATTAAGGAGGGCACGTGATGTAATAAGCACTGGGTATTATGTAAGACTGCTGAATCACTGACCTCTACGTCTGAAACCAATAACCTATGTTAATTAATTGAATTTAAGTTTAAAAAAACTTTTTTTTTAATAAAAAAGAGGAAACCAGCCAACGTGCTGATAGGTCACTGGCCCTAAGGAGACTGCACTGGCAGGAAACAATCCATTCCATCCAATCAAGTGGTAGAAAAACCAGCAGGGAAGGGAATACCCAGAGGAGTTCTTTCTCCCAGCCTCCTCAGTCGAGGCTGGGGTGGCCAAGGGAAGGATAAGGAGGTTCCCAACCAGCCAGCATGTTTCCAGGTCACCCCCACTTTCAGGGACCTAGGACCTCTATGCATGGGGTAATGTGGGCCTAGTGCGTCCCTAGCTCTTCCCCAGTCTGTGTCAAGAAGCCTCCTGGTGGGGGGCAGCGGGGGAGGACAGAGATGTGATTACAGCTGGCTGGCCTGAGGAAAGGGCTCCCTATGGTTGCCTGGCTGCTGAGAGAACTCAAATGCTAGCTTGAGTGAGGGCTGAGCACTCAGTCGGGACATGTCTCTGGGCTTCAGCTCTACTTCTGGGAAATATTTTCCACAGAGGCTGTTTGCCTGCTTCCTTAAGAGGGGGCACATCTCTCTGGCCTCAGCCAGGTGAAATCTGGCTCAAATAGTTGCCAGGGTAATGGAAGGATCACAGCCAGCCCTGCACCCAAGTCACGAGGCTCATTTTCACGATCAGACACAATCCATCAGGACGAGGAGGACAGGCTCCGAGCCACCCAAGGGGCGAGGCTCTTTCTCTTTGGCCCGCCGCATGCTCCTGGCGTGTGAGAGCCCAGCCCGGGACGCCAATGCTCTCTCATCACATCCCCCAGGCTTGCCCTCTGTAAGCTCAGCACCCCTAACCCCTCACCTCTCCGTCTGAGTGACTGGTGTGAGCTCACCAGGGTGTGCGGAGGGATGTATTGCACTGGGGTGCGCAGGCAAAGCTGGGCTGGCAAAGTGGACCTGACACGGGTTCCAGCACACGTGGCCAGGAAAGGGTTAGACGCTTCCAGCTCAGCCCATTCAATCTGCGGCGGACACCAGAGAAGGCTTAGGAGATGTTTCCCAAACCACTGGGACTCTGGTCTCCAAAATACTAGTGCTGAGTCTCCTCAGAAACCACCAGAGAAGGAGTACGCAGATCAAAATGGCATTGAGAATTTTTCAGGGACAAAGTCAGAAGGCACCTTCTATGGCATCCAGAAGGGGTGACCCAACACCTGTCACTTAGACCCATTTGCCCTTGCCTGAAGTAAGAATCAATATGGGGGCACCTGTCTAGCTTAATTAGTAAAACATGTGACTCTTGATCTTGGGGTCATAAGTTCAAGCCCCACGATGGGCCTAGAGCTTACTTTAAAAAAAAAAAAAAAGAATCAGTTAATTTTGCTATGCACATTAAAGTGTTTAACTGACAACGCACATGTGTAACTTACGTAGCTGTGCATAATGGAGCAAAGATGACTAGAGAATGTTCCTCCAGCAACACCAAGGCTTCCATTTTGATTTCACTTAGTAATTAGCCATTTGGGTTATGCTTGCTTCAGTTCTGGTGTGCTCTTGCAAAAGCACAAATTAGCTCAGAATATTTGTGACCATCAGGGTTGTATCTCTAGCCAAAAAATAATCATTAAATAGGGAGTTTGGGACTTTTCTCCATCTTAACTCATCTTGGCTTTATGTGATTGGAGAGTCATAGCTCAGCATAATTGCTTTGTGCCAAAGCACTAGTGTATCAGCAGGAAAAGAAAAAAAAAAAAAAACTGAAGTGCCAAAGCAAAAGTTAATAAGCAGTATGCGCTCGCCTTACCGATGATGGAAGATAGGGTATGGACACCGGCTTGCTTCCATTTCACCCCTGCTGTCACCCTACACACACAGTGAATATCAAACCTGGTTACTCTGGGTGGGTCCTCCTGGGCTGAGAAAACCCACAAAGCAGCCTGAATCTTCTTCACAAACTAGGATCATTCTAGCACTTATGCACATATGCAAGTCAAGCCAAAGCCCCTACCCAGCCTTCGGTCCTTAGTAGGCAGGCAACCTAATCTCATATCCATCCTTATGAGAGCTTTTTATTCAGGTTAGGAGATTTTTACTCGTAAAGTAGTATGATTTTTTCCAAGGTAACAAAAAACATGAATTATCATTCTGTCCTATACGTGGGGGCGGGGGGGGGCGGGGGGGTTGTAAAATAGGACATCTTTCCTTCTTTTCTTTTCTTTTCTTTTTTTTTTTTTTTTCAGGGCAGGGTGGAAGAGTCCTAAGCAAACCAATAGATAGAGTAGAAGGATGTACACCACCCACAACTAAGACCTTACTGGTAACCCCTAACATCAGCCTTGCTCTGCCTTCTCCTCTGTATGGGTACATACTGCTTTTCACAAATGAGCCAAAGTGATCTTTGCATCCGTGATCAGCCTGTCAACTCTGGATAGCAGCAATTTAGAAAGTGATTTTATTTGACTAAGTGGAATAGGTGGGGGACAAATGACATAAAATTACAATGCTTTCTGCTTCCATTAAAGCTTAGGTGGAGTCCGTTTTTTTTTCCCTTACTTGAGAGAGAATAAAAATAATATGAGAATCTGTTTTATTTTTATTATTTTTCTGATTACAAAATAATATCTGTTGTGAAAAGTTGGAATAATGTAGGGTGTAGGAAGTGAGTTTCCCCATAATCACTCCCTATCACCGCCCCCAGCCTGCTCCAAGCTAACCAATGGAGACAGTTTAATGTATTTGCATCCAGATTTTTTCTTTGCAAATGCTAACTTACAGACTGATTAATATTCATTGAAATGAAATAACAGTATGCTTACTGCTCTGTAATTTGTTCTTTTCAATCAACAATACTTTTTAGCAGTCTTTTCCGTGCTAATACATACAAACTACTTCATTATTTTTTAATTTTTTTATTTTATTGAGATAAAATTTACATAATATGAAATTAACCATTTTAAAGTGAACAATTCAGCAGCACTTAGTAATTCAGAATGTTGTATAACTATCACCTGTACTAGTTACTTCTTTCTTTTTAGTGACCATATAGCCTTCTACCTCATGGATGTACTAACATTTATACATTGGATGTACTAACATTTATACATTGGCTTTCTCTAACTTTACACTATTTTTTTTAAGATTATTTATTTATTTATTTGACAGAGAGAGGGAACACAAGCAGGGGGAGTGGGAGAGGGAGAAGCAGGCTTCCCGCTGAGCAGGGAGCCGGATGCGGGGCTCAATCCCAGGACCCTGGGACCACGACCTGAGCCGAAGGCAGACGCTTAATGACTGAGCCACCCAGGTGCCCCTACTTAACACAATGTTGCAATACTTGTATGTACATCTTTGCAAATTTGTGGAAATGTTACTGTAAATTTCAAGGTCAAAAGTAAAGCCAACTTTAAAAGTTGATACTTTTTTTTTTTTTTTGAGAGAGAGAGTGCGCTCGTGCGCGCAAGGGGGAGGGGCAGAGGGAGAGAGAGAATCTCAAGCAGCCTCCCACTGTGTGCGGAGCCCAACTCCAGGCTCAATCTCATGACCCTGAGATCACGACCTGAGCCAAAAATCAAGAGTCAGATGCTTAACCGACTGAGCCACCCAGGCGCCCCAAATGTTGATACATTTTGAAAAATTCCCTCCAAAATGGCAGCATCAATGTCCATTTAGGAACTCCCTTCGAAGTGATAACAGTGGAGGGGCGCTTGGCTGCCTCAGTAGGTAGAGCATGTGACTCAGGGTTGTAAGTTCGAGCCCCATGTTGGGTATAGAGACTACTTAAAAATAAAATCTTAAAAAAGAAAAGTTAAAAAAGGTGATAATAGTGGACATCCCTGGGGGCTTCTTTCTGTCCCTTTCTTCCATGTCACTTATGCCTCAGGTCCAGTCTGGGAGTAGTAGACTTACTTTTCCTGGTTTGGAATCTGTATTAAGTTCCTCATAGCTGCCTTAACAAAACACCACACACTGGGTGACTTCAAACAACTCGCACGGTTTTGGAGGTTAGAAGTCCAAACTCAAGGTGTCAGCAGGGCTATGCTTTTTCTGAGAGGTCTAGGGGAAAATCGTCTCTTGTTCTTTATGCTTCCAGGGGGCTCCTGGCAATCCTCAGAATTCCTCGGTTTCTAGCAACCTAATTCCAGTCTCTGTTTCCAGCTTCACGTGGCTTTCTTTCCTGGGTGCGTGTCTGCGTGACACCTTCTCTTCTTGGAAGGACACTTGTTTTTTAATTTAGGGCCATCTCTAATCCAGTATGACCTCATCTTTACATTTGCAAAAACCTTATTTCCAAATAAGGTCACATTCTGAGGGAAACTATTCAACCCACTATAGGATCATTATGTAAATTTGGGATTTTAAGGACTCAAAATAGAAAACAACTTATTATTCCATTTAGGTTAACAAAAGGCAGTTTAAAGAGTAGATGAAAATCTTAAAGAATTCTACAATCTATTCCCAGGTTAATGCAGGTTAGTATCTTAACTCAAACTTAATGTATTCCTAAAAGTGTGTAAGTTCAAATTCAATGTAGAAAGGAAGGATGTAGTGTGGATACATACTGTCATTTTATTTCTCAGTAAAGTTGCATTTTCCTAACTGTGATATATATGAAAAGTTTCAAGACGAAGTTACAGATCTCAAAGGGTCTAACGAAGAATAAGTAATACCAGACTCCTTTAATTCTATTAACTGTGTGTATCAGCCAGGATAGGTAAGGACATGCTGCAGGAACAAACAGCCTCAAATCTTAGTAGCATAAAACAACAAACATTTACTCATACTACATTGTTGCCCAGGGATCACTGTGGGACGCTATTCCAGGACGCAGATTAGTGAAGCAGCTGCTATATAGAACATTGCCCAGACTCATGGCAGAGAGCATTCTAGAGGTTCTCATATCAACAAACATGACACATGTCACTTCTGCTCACAACTGAAAGGCTAGATCAGTCTCATGGCCCACCCAATCACAAGAGACTCAGGAAGCTTAACATATTTTGCAAATAACACCAATAACTACTACATTGTGTGTATGGGGCAGGGGGAGGAGAGGTAGGGGTGTTAATGTATGTGTATGCATTTATCCTTATCTACTAAGATATCTTCTGTTTCTTTCACCAACAGGAAAGTTGACCCAGTCGCAGCAATGACCACTCCTGAGAAATTATACTCCAGTATCATGCAGACTCTGAAGCATCTAAATTCCCACCTGCCAAATGGCAGCCATGTTATTTTATACGGCTTACCGGATGGAACATTTCTCTGGGATAATTTGCACAACAGATATTATCCTCTTGGTATTAGTTTGAAGATACTTTTACTCCTTTTTTTAAAAGATTTTATTTATTCATTTGAAACAGAGAGATACAGGAAGAGAGAGCATGAGCAGGGGGAAGGGAGAGGGAGAGGAGAAACAGACTCCCCACTGAGCTGGGAACCAGATGTGGGACTCGATTCCAGGATCCCAGGATCATGACCTGAGCCAAAGGCAGACACTTAACCATCTGAGCCACCCAGGCGCCTCGATACTTTTACTCTTTAGCAATGCCAGCTATACATAGTTCAAATATATGTCGTTCAAACCATATAGGAATACACCTAAAATGCCACCATGGTGCATAGGTCAGAACTGGTGAAGGCAAGAGCCCTGAGGTACGGATCTAAAGGCCAGTATCCAAAGATGGTCAGAACCAGATCCAAAGTCAGAAAGGGCAGAAATTTTTTCATGTAGAATTAGGACAAACTGAAGGGTAAGAATTTAAATCAGGAAACTCCTTTAACGAAAAGTGAGATCTAGACTAAGCAGATGAAGCTCAAGTCAAAGAGAAGGATTTCTCCAAACCTCAATGGTGAGTGCCCCTGGTGGCCAGAATTCTAAGAAATTCTGTGGACCCTGGTGGCAGTTAAAATTCTACACAACACATCCTCCAGGGGGCTTGCTTCCTACTTCTACACTCTCTTGGAGTCCTTGGCTCTGAAATGCTTTAAAGATCTCCAGAAACTTTCAATAGCATCTCTAGCATTCCAGATGCCTTCTAAACATTGTAAAAGTAATAGTAATTCACATCAGGAAGGGCTGGCCATGCTGATCCTTAAAATAATCCTGTTAATCCAATTAATGTTATTTTTATTAATTTCATTTTATAGATGAAAAACCAAAGGCTCCAAATGTCGCATAGCTTATTGTATATGTAATCTGGGTGGAGTAGGGCTCTCTCTCTCTGTTTGGGGGAGAATGTCCTTCCAAAAAATATTTATTATGTGCCAGGCCCTGTTCTAGGAACCATATAACCATCAGTGAACACAATAATCAAAAGTCCCTGCCAACATAGGCTTGTATCCCAGGAGTATGCCAGGGGATGATAAGTGTGACTAAAAAAATTAAGCAGGGAAGGGGGATGGGAAGTGCTGGCCTCAGACGTCTCTGACAGGCAGCTTCAATGAGGGCCTAGATACCCTCCCCTCAGCCTCATATCGACAACCCCTTGCCAGTCTCTCATTAAAGAGGTCGCCCCTTCCCTAGTATTGCCATAGCCTCCTCCTTAGACCAACTGCTGCAGAAAGTGTTCTGGAGACCCAAGCCGCTTCCAATGAGTCAGATGAGCAATTCAAAGGGAAAAACCTGAAGCTCCTTCCTCAGTGTCCACCTCAGGGGGTGGGGGTGGAGCGCTTTTCCTTGCGTTAGTAACTTTTCTCTACCTTTCCAGTCTCCTCTTCTCCTCCTGTAGTCCCTGCTTAAGCCAACCCCCACCCCTCCTAACACACGAAAAGAGCAGGTTCCCTTTAACCAGTTCTCAAAGGACTCTGGTCCCTTCACCAGGGGGACAAGAGTAAATACCCACTTTCTAGGCTTCCCACCAATAAGACTGAAGTCATTTTTCCTCTTCGGTTACCAAGTGCACCACAAATACCATTATCATCCCAGCAAAACATTGTCCAGCCTCTCAAGAGGAAAGCGTATTCTTTCTGTTTCCACAGCTTTGACCAAGACTTTAGAAATAATAACACGGTCACACAGAGAACATGACTCCATTCTGGGCTTCCTTGAACACATGAAGCACAACCACATGGGCCAACAATGTCTCTTTGAGCCTTTGGGGTTGAAAATTTCAGTTCCCCCAACAAATGTTTTCAGATTCCTAGATTTCTCCCATACTAAGAAATGCTTGGGAAAAGGAAGTTGAGGACAGGAGAGATGTGCTTCCGTTTTACTCTGTCACAACAATGGGGACTTGGCTTTGGGTTTTCTGACTTCAAATCCCATTTTCTTTCCATGAACTCTGGTTAGATAACTCCATAAGTTCTCTCAGATATGCCACACAATTCACTTGACTCAACCACAGTAGGTAGTAATGACACCATACAATTTGGAAGGGAGCAAGGGAGGGAAACAAGGTAATTGGGGAGACTCATCAATCACTTCGGTGGATTCTCTAGGCCAGCGGTTTTCATGTCACCCCTACTCATTATCACAACTGGAGAAGGGGTGCTACTAATATCTAGTGGGTAGAATCCAGGGATGCTCCTAAACATCCTGCAATGCACAGGACAGCCCCCCACAACTAAGAATATCAGTAATGCCAAGGTTGAGAAACCCTGCTTTAGGCTTTGCCTTGTCCTCAAATGGCCTTTCAGCAGCCACCAATCAGGCACTAGCATTTCACAGCACAAACGAGGGAGAACGAAAAGGTAGAACGAGTTTGTTCTATGGAAACAACGCTGGTTTTGGGGAGAAAAAAAAATCCAATTAGAAAGAAAGTTGAAACCATCTAAAATTTATTTAAGTTATTATTCATATCCTAAATTATCCCTGCTGCCTGGTTGCCATGGGATATAAATTATAAATTCCTCAACGAAGCATCAGTACCCTTCCTAGACAGCCTGGGGAAGTAGGTGGGATTTACCCAGCTTCCTCATTTCTCCTTTGGCCGGCGCGTAACTCACATAAGATGAGAGGCTTGAGGAGAGGGCTACTGCCCTGTATCTCAGTTCTGCTCTGGCTTCAAATCCAGTCTTTGGACCTTCACTCCCATCAGATGTGAGCCAGCAGGAAAGCAGGTTAATGCCAGGCCAGTCTCAGGGTTTTGCTGCTCTTTGAGGTTAGGGTCGGTCTCATCTTAATCAATAGCCAAACACGGAGTCTGATTCCCAAGGCACTATGCTAAGGATTGTATAAGCAAATAAATGGGGTTTTCCATTTATTTCTCTGAGCCTAGAAACATGGTGACTGATACTCTCTAGACCTGACGTTAGCCACCCAGTGAGGATTAAGAGAGAGGTCAGGAAGCAGGAGTCAAGCAGAACCCCAGGGTCAGTGATACATTTTCTGCTGCCTCAGTAGGACAGGCAGGGACTCGGGCTGACCATTCACCCAAGAAAAGGTTAAATGCCACAGCATCAGATCATCAGGTAATGAAGGCCCAGGGCTAGAACAGATTTCTAGCTTATTCCTGCCAAGGAAGAGGGGGTGATAAATCCCTCCTGGCATCTCTTAACCATGTTTGAGTCACTACCCAGTCAAAGCCTGGCTGCCAAGGACTGCAACAGCTCCACAGTCTCTACCAGTAACTAAAATTCCTAGCAAGAATGTATAGTCTTTTTGAGGAATTACCAGAAACCAAGTCTCACACATTAAGATTCTACTTACATAGATCTTTTCAAGCTTGACCAGGGATAAGGCCTCTCAGGCACAGTTTATGAGAAAGGCAGTCTTTCCATAAATATGTCTGAGAACCTATTATGTGCTTTGGGGGTAAAGACGATACTAAAATGGTTTCCTTGTCCTCAAAAGAGAGGGAAAAGACAATTCCACCGGTGAAAATACTGTATCGATCCTGACAGTGAAATCACCTTATGCCACTGACGCTGGTACAAACCATAGGCATTCTGGGAGCTACCTGAGGGTTAGACTATAGTCAAAAAGTCCAGGATCGCTGGCTACAAATAAGTCTGCATGTAGGCCTTCCTTGAAAGGCCTCTGCCACAGAACATCAATAACTTAATATTTCCCCCATTACTCTTAAACTTGAAACCTAATATATTTTAAAGTACCTTGCACTATACCTCTTATTTTATTACTGGTTTACTCCCTGTCTGAATTCATGTGGTTTTACTAAAGTTTTATACTTTCAGGTGGTATTTCATGGAGGTGTGGCTGATCTTTGTTGGTACTAAGCTTTTATGGTGCCTAAAATTTCAACTGCAGTCCCAGCATTAAGTAAATGCCAAATACTCTGCCCTAAAGGACTAATAATGACCGAGACAGGAGCTGCTACTACAGCAAGTTGGGGTAGAACATGCCCTTTAATCTTTGGGGGATATATGGCAGCCACTGGGCCAGCCCACTAGCTCCCCACCCCTTGTGTGTGCACGCACGTGTGCGCAAACACACACACACACACACACACACTCTCTGATAGTTCCTCAGCCCTGATAATTCCAGTCCTCTTGCCCCTGCCCCATTTCTGACCAGCTTTCCTTACCAGATTCACTTTCTGACCAGGATGTTTCAGATACTGCCTCTTTATAGGTACGACATGTAGGTGGGATCAATCTTTGTACCAGGGCTCCTCAATATGCAAAAATACCATTGAAAAGTAATACCTGAAAAGAAACAGTGAATAACCAACTGACAGCACCAATAAGTGGAGAAAAGCATAAGAACTATTTTCCCTCCTCCCTTTCTTTAAACCATAAGCCAATAATAAGCACTCCCAACTGACCTTCCACACGGCCAGCTCCAGAGTCACCCTACCTTCCACAGCAGAAATCCCGGAGAGAAGGGAAACCAACTCATTACACCTTTCCCAGGTCCCTCCCAGCTGCAGCTAGCATGCCCTTATCCTATTCAACAGACCTACCTTCTCACCTAAGGATTTTTCCTCTATCAACCTTGTCTAATTAGAAGTGCCAGAAAAGCAAGAAGATGGGGGGAAAGAGACAGGGATCGAGAGAAGACCCAGTAGGAGGACACACCTTGTGGTCTCATCCTAAGGTGTGCTGGGACCTCAGCAGTAGGACAGCAGGGAGAGAGGAGTAAGCCGGGATGGACAAGGCTACGGCTGGACTTAGCCCCTAGAGGGGAGCCTGCAGATGAATCCCCAATATCCACTAGCAGGACAAACTCTGGTCCCTCTGGAGAGCAGAGCAAGTGGGAAAGGGGAGGGTGCGAGAGTGTTACTTGTAGGTGTTAGTCACTGTAGCTTGCTAGGCTGAGATAGGGACACATACAGAAAGGTAAATTACGGAACACACACACGCACACACACGCACCCACACACACAGGAGAGGGAAAGAAGCCTCAGGGGTGGAGAACAGGACCTTGGCGAAAGATGAGAGCTCAGGGTTCCACGTTGAGCATAAAATGAAAGCAAAGACAGAAGGTGGCTTGGGATTCATCCAAAATACGAAGATGCAGACACCTTTGAGAAAAGAGGAGGCCTTGTGTGTCATTGTGACTTTAATGGCGATAATAAGCCTGCGGTTTTCCAGTCTTGGGATTCACTCACCCACACAGAGAGAGAATACATATTTCCTCTATGACAAGAAAATTGAATCTATCTTTCAGTCTAACTGATCTGAGGTGTAAGTGAAAAATAAGACTGTGTTCCATCACTTCATTCCGAAATAGGTCCTATTATTTTCCCTTATTTTTTCAAGTGTGAGAGAAATATTAATGGATAAGACATCAGTCATTCACCACTGAGATTTGGGAGGGCCTGGGTTTTGTGTCTCAGCCACAGCATGAAAGTTGAGTTGCCTCCAGGGGTGGACAGGCTGGGGGGTGGGGGGAGAGGGGAGGTGTGTGAAAAGAGAGAAGAAATAACCCCCACAGATTCTGGGTCTACAGCTGATGTTTGGAAAGACTCTGGATAAACTCATATAGGGCACTTAACACTTTTATTCTTTTTTTTAAGTTTTATTTAATTTTTATAGTCATCTCTACCCCCAGTGTGGGGCCCAAACTCACAATCCCGAGATCAAGAGTTGCATGCTCTTCCAACTGAGCCAGCCAGGCACCCACACCTTTATTCATATGTACCTCTTTAGCCTGCACCAAAAGATAAATTAGAGCATATCTAGTAATTAGGGCTCCAATAAGATATGCACTGGGCTGTGAAGGGATAGGATGTGCTGTCCTCTCCCACTCAATGGCCACCCACGCACTTTTGGAGGCTTTCAGTCTACCAAACTGCAGGCAGCGCATGGTCAGAACTTCAGACACCCAGAAAGTCCCAGCAGGTCCTCAGCATGGGATAATTGGGCAGACCTCAGTGTTACATAAAGTCGACAATGAGGGTTTGTCCAACTACCGCCGTGAATGCTCTCCATGGGAACTTGGCATCTCATACCCCTGCCTAGAGAAAGCCCCTGCTCTCCAAGTCCTTTGTTAGTGGTGTTCCAGCCTGTATGGGGCCTTTTTATCCTTCTACCTGGCGTCCAGATAAGGGCAGAAGCTCGAGATGGGCGTAAACTCCTTAGAGCCCCTCCCCAGCTCGGTCGGATTTCTAGGACACTCAGAAAGAAGGAATGCTCAGGCATTCTTCGGGAGCAATGCGGAATGAAAACTCAGGGCAGGTCCCTGGAAGTGCCACCCTTCTCAGGAAAGGCAGGGTGGTCCACAAGTGTCCCTAGTTGGCTGCTAGATCTGAATAAGTACAACATAACAGACCTCTTTGTCTTCCAGGCCAGCTAAATAAGGATGTGACCTATGCACATTTCTACTCCTTCCTGAACTGTCTCCAGGTGAGCCCACAATGACTTGTTCCAAGGCCATGTTCCCTGTTACTGGTCTTGCTCCTCTGTAATCAAAGCGGTGTTTTCTTACTCTCAGGTCAGCCCCTGCCACAGTTGGATGTCCTCCAACAAGACGCTCCGGACTCTCACTTCAGAGGTAGGACTGTAGCAACTCCTTTGATAGCACATTTGATCTGTCTTTCCGGGTATTTACTGCAGCATTTCCACTGGGAAGGGGATTTGGGCAGGGCAGTGGCCGCCAAGCTGATGAATAAAAACATCAAACTGCCAGGGTGTTGGAGAAACCAAGAGAATGTGGGGTGCCCTGTCTCTCTCTTTCTACCGCACTCTGAGTCTGTGGCTCTGGCTGTGTCTCTCAGTCACTGTCTCTGTTGTGTGTCTTTCTCTCTTGTACACACACATATGTGGATACACATATACCCCTTTCAAAGCTGGTCCTAGGTGTATTTGTAGACATAGAGAGGAGTGAGCAAGGTTAGGCCCACAGGTGACCGGCGTTCTCCCAAGGTACACAAGGACCAGGGGTTCCATAGCCTTCCTCTCTTCTCTGAGGGGATCCATGGTTCACGTACTTCTTTCAGGGACAGTGAATAATCTCTTTGTAAGAGATTTATTGATTTTTTTTTTTACAAAAGAAATATATTTCAATTAAAAAAAATTGGAGAATATGAAAAAGCTGAGACACAAAAAATAATAACAAAAATTACCACAAATCCCATCACCCAAGCCAATAAGTATGTATGTGTTTCCAATATTACTTTCATAGATATTTGGGGGATTTTGCCTACACAGTATCAGAGTACACATATTGTTTTGTGCCTTCCAAGGTTCATAAGTTAGTCCTCCACATCATAATTTTGTCATCATTTTAAAGCATACGGCATATGAATGCACCGTGATTTATTTCACCCCTTAGTGTTGGACATACAGGTTGTTTCCAATTTTTCGCTATGGAAAATAGCACTGCGATGAACCTGTGTATGTATATACATATTTCTTTCTATACTGTGTCTATTTCCTTCAGACAAATTCTTAATTATTGGGTCAAAGGGTTATGCCGTGTATAAGGGTTTGATCCCTATTTCCAAATTGCTCTCTAGAAAGGTGAAACAAATTGACATTCTCAGTCACCTCTCCCATGGCAATATTCTATATTATCAAGATTATTCATCTTTTCTTTGCCAATCCCATGGGAAAGAAGTGGTATCTTATTACTTTAATTTTCACTGATTGATTCCTAATAACTGTATGGTCGCTAGCCTTTTGTGCATGACTAGAATTTCATGGGCAGAGCATTCCTCCGCTGATGGCTCCAAGTGAGGGTGGGGACTATCAGTTTCTTTGTTCTGCCTGAATTGTCTCACTAAAGTCTAGGTTTCATGGAATTCTCCCTGTTTTTTTTGTATTCAGAGAGCAAAACAACTCTCCAATACACTGAAAAAAATTGCAACCAGCCAGAAATTTACAAACTTTGATCTTTTCTACATGGACTTTGACTTCCAAGAAGGTAAGTTTTGTTTGGAGTAGGTATTGACACAAGACAAAAGTAGCGGCTACAGTTTAGAGCCTGACTGAGCAGAGCTTTTATAAGCCAACAGGCAGTAGATTGGGCAGGGTGGATCCCGCACATTTGACACACTCACAGCTCTGAGTATTGAAGAAAGATAAAGTGTGAGACCTTTCCGGGATGGGGGAAGCTTACCATCACCTCATTTCACCATCATTTTAGAATCCCTGAAGCAATAGAGCCAATGACCAGTTGGAGACAGCTCTGGGCAGAGAGCCAGCAGATCGATGGAATCACCTACTTCATTCTTGCCAGTTGAGCAATGCCCTGCTTAGCTGTGGGCTGAAGATGAGTGTGGCAGGAATGGGGGATAAGGCAGTGCCTCCCATATGAATGCTGACTGACCTTGGGGTCCAGTGGCAGAACAGATTCCCAGCCCCTACACATGATGTAACTTATCAGAGTCTTTAAGGGAGGGACCTCGGGTTTGCCTGTGGCAGAGTGGACAACCCATCTTCCAGCTGGAAAGAATGTCACTGTTTCTTTTCTAGCATTCTGTCCAAAGACAGGGGTCACTGAGGAGTGGCCATGCAAAAATGGGGGTGATTATCGGAGCTCCTGATTTATCCTTTACATCTTGACTCTGAAAAATTGTTATTTGCTGACTTTAATCCTCCCAGTCTCATCTTCATTGCTAAGCACTTGTTATAGAAGAGAAAAGCCTTCTGTTGATTGACTGCCCTCTGAGATGACGCTAATGGAAAGCTTTACGGTGTATGCAAATGATGGGAGAGGTCTCATCCAGAGTTTATCATCTCTCTCTCCCTGCCACCAACAGCCCCAGCCCCAGCATCTGGGATGAAGCAGATGGCCATCATGAATTATCAAATTTTACATTAGCTGACACGTAGTGCATTGCATACTCTCGTAGTTCAATCCTGAACAGCTTTTCAGCAGGACTGATCTCCCTTAACTAGATATCCTGCCTAGGTGATACATAATTCTCTCCTGGGGAAAAACATTTTGATAAATAACCTCTCATTAAAATGCAGAGCTAAAGACTCATTAATGAATTCCTGGTGTAAACAAATGCACCACCAAGTGATCTGTGATGAGCATCAGACTTGAATATAGATAAAGTTATTAAAAATATAATAATGTCTAACATTCACATGGGACTTTTCATTTTCCAAAGTAATCTCTAGCTCTGTCATTTATTGTCTTTGGGAATGTAGGCAATTCCCCTAACATGTCTAAACTCTCCTTTCCAGACCTGGAAATGGGGCTGCCATATCTACAGAACAGATCTTTGTGATGATTGTATGGGAAAAAAAATGTAATTCTCCTAAATGCTGTGCCTGGTACATAGCTGGTGCCCAGGAAAGAATAGGGTCCCCTCCCACCCTTGCTACTCAATGTATGGCTCAGGATGAGCAGTATCCACACCACCTGGGGGCTAGTTATAAATGCAGAGCCCCAGGCTCCACTCCTAATTAGGACCTACCTAATTGGAATTTGCATTTTAACATAATCCACAGATGACCCAGATGCACGTTAAAATTTAATAAATGGGGCTCCGTCATGCTCCAAGGTTAAGAATTTAGTTAGTCATCCGATTTTTACTAAGTCTTACCATGTCCATGTAGGTGCTGGGAATATAGCTGTCAGAAAAACAAAACAGCCCTTATCTTCGTGAAGGACAGGGAGAGAAGAGTTTTACCCTTGACTCAGTACTACCAGCTTTCCACTGATGACCTAACGGGCTGGAAGCAGAGGCTCCTCGGCCCCTTCTTGTCCTCACGGCAACAATAAATGCAATATAAAAGCTAAAGTTTCAGTTAAAGTGAACTGAACATTCTAAATCAAATGGCAGTGGGTCATCTTACTGAGAAACCTCCTCCGTATTTGTCCTTATTTGGCAACAATCGTCAACAGTTGAAGGAATTTCCTGAGAGACATTTATTAAAAATAAATCTGAAGATCCAGTTTTGGATTCTTCTTCTGGAGTCCTTCTTTGCCTTCTCCATATGAAGTTAGTGGGCACTCCACTAGGGCAGACGTATGGGCACAGCCGGAGGGAGCGTGCAGACAGAGGATCTGGTGGCCTGCGATCTGCCCGCATGAACAGCTGCTACAGCGGAGGGCTCATTCACTCCCAGATCCAGCTCCGTGGGTAACCGCCGTGCCTGGCAAGCTCATCATCCCAGAAATCATGGAGGTGCAATGCGCTATTGTAGAAAGAGCCCACGTTCGCCACCGGATAGAACTGAGCCCCTGTCCCAGCTCAGACACAGAATGACTGCGTAACCTTGAGTAGTTAAATAACCACTCTGCTTTGTTCTCTTTTGTGTAAGGTAACAATCAATAAACCAGGGAGCAGGTGGAGGGGGCAGGGGGTCTGGGGGTTATGTGAGGATTGAGACAACACTGCAATGTGATGAGAACCCTCTTAGCTGACATCCTCCCACCACCACTGTCATCAGTATATGCAAAGCACCTACTCCGCTCTTCTAGGGCTTATCATAGAAGGAGAATACATGTTGGTTCGCTTCCAATGTCCAACCCTCCTCCCACACCAATCATACCCGGGTGTGAGTGCCCTAGAGGAAGCCATGGTGGAAATGTATCTCATTAGCACCATGGTCTTGTGTTATCAGACATAAAAACCGTATAGCCACTTATGGAACCCGCAGTCTTAAGGGTCACATGGAAATCTCCCCTCTCATTTCAGTGCTGTATTTGAGCTGATGACTGCATCACAAACATCCTCATTTTTCATATGAAATGTACAGTTCCACCCCCTGTGACAGAGCAAACTGCAGCTGAGGGTCGCTGTCCCTGGAGGGTGGGCATGAGCCCTATCTGTTCTCCATTCTGACAGCGTCAGTCCCACAGTGAAAGGCTATTGCTCATCTCCAAAGACTCTTTTTTGTCTCTTGCTGACTCATCCTCTAACTGGTTATGAGCTAAACAGAGGCAGCAATTTTTCCTCCCTTCAGGAAATGCCAGCTGGAGCAGGTGATGTCCTTTTTCTTTGTCTGTACCACACCTCCCAAACAGAGGAAGGAAAATGCCACTTGGCTGACAAGGCCATTTTTACACTGACAGTTTAAATATACCAGCTGCCCTCAGTTTCCAAGACAACTCAATTGGAGTAAACTTGGTTCTTAGTTCTCCCCACGTGGATGTTTGTAAAACAACCAATGACTTCATGGTGCTGACCAGAATTCCGATTTCTTGTTTTAAATATCTGCTAGTGTTGCTGTTCAGCAAGGAGCTACCAAGTGCTTATGACTCTTCTTTGATGATTCCTATGGCATCTCTGAAAAGCTGGTCATTGCTAATGACTTCTTTGACTTTACAGATACAGAAAATACATTATGCACCAAATCCCAAGAGATCATTTGTGATCATTCAAGAAGTTTAATTCAGATCTTCTGAGAAAATAGGAATTCATTTACCTATTTTTAATTGTGATCCCAGGCAGGAAGAAAACAGACCAACTTACCATGCTGCCCCTGCTTGGATCTCCTCCCCTACAATCAGTCAGAGGGCTCCTGGGTAGCTCAGTTGGTTAAGCATCTGCCTTTGGCTCAGGTCATGATCTCAGGGTCCTGGGATCAAGTCCCATGTGGGGCTCCCTGCTCAGCGGGGAGTCTGCTTCTCCCTCTTCCTCTGCCCCTCCTCCCTCCTCATGCCCTCTCTTTCTCTCTCAAATAAATAAATAAATAAGATCTTTTTAAAAAATTAAATAAGATAAAATCAGTCAGAGAAGAAATAAAGACCACTGGTATTGCGTTTATTCTAAGAAAGCAAAATTTCCCCCTGAGATCAACAAATGTAAAAGGGTCACTCTCTCTAGCACTGGTCACAATACAGATGAAACCTTAAACTCTTGCCTGTGAGTTTCTGATTCTCCCTTTAAGTGTTATAATACTGATGTCTGCAGATTTGCAATAATTGGTAACCCTCACAGACACAATAATCATGCGGGAAAATAATGTTTTTCACTCTGATAGACTGATGGTAGCCTTGGTAACCTGCGGCATTTCTTTTAATGCCTATTGGATTATTCTATATGATAAGCCAGTTCTTCTAAAGACTGGACTCCCTTGCAGTGAGGAGGGAGAGGGACTTGTGCAGCGGCAGAAACATGTTTCCTGGCAGGAAGGAATATGTTATCACTGACTCCCAGTAACAGCCAGATGCAAAATATGGAGGAGTGGCTTGGTGGCAGCCATTTTGCAGGAGAAGAAGCCAAAGGGAATTGATGATCCTGTATGTAGGACTTCAAACAACCAGCAGGAATTTTTTTCCTGAGCTCTGAGAAGGGCAGCAGTATTTGCAGCCCCTCGGGGAACAGGGATTGGGTAGCAAGGAGGGGTGGCATGCTGTGATATTAGGACTAATTACAAAAGCAGCATAGTACTGATTCAGCTCTGGGACAGGCTTCACTTACACAGTCAAAGCCTCTGGTAGAATTTCCATTCCTTCCTTTGGGGCAAGACTGGGGTGTGGGGGGATCCAAGAGGGCACACACATCCCAGCTCTTGAGTCTTTGTGGAGAAGAAGGAAGAACTAGAAAAATTACAGCCATGCCTACTCCCCTCTCTGGACACCAAGGAAGGGAGGGCAGGGGAGAGGCTGGGATCAGCCAGTTTCAAATCTTTCTCTCTGGAGGCTCTCTAGGGATTTTGAAATTTCCTTGAGTTCTTCCTGACTGTATAATATTACAGTATAGAGTTAATGGTGCTATTGCCTTGGAGCAACTGACAGTCTTGGTCTCTTACTCCTGTTGAAGGGCAGTTTTACTGCTTTTCATCACTTTGGGGCTCATAATATTTCCTCTGTAGCCATACTCACTCTAAATGTGATGTTGAGATCATTTTATGTAATTATATTTCTGAGAAACTGTACGATTTTTAATGGTGATGGCTTGACATATGCAGGCAGTATCTGGAAATGGCAGCCCACATAAAGAGATGTTAACAAAATGTTTTAATTTCCCCCCGTTCTCTTGCAATACTCTCCCACTGAGAAATGAGATGAATTTACATCGGTGTTGAATATTTCAGAGCTCACCTTTTCCCACTGCCCTCCTCCCTGCACAAACCACATTCACCCAAGGCCGTCACACATTTTCCTCCCGAGCTAGAAAATTAAAAAAAAGACCATACAATGCTTGAGATAATAGCCCAGAGCAGCCACAACTGAGTAAAGCATCGGCCAGGCAGGCCCGTGGGCAGCTCTGATGTTTGGTCCACACGGTCCTTGCTCTCCAGTGCTGACCGTCACTTAGAGAAGCACGTCGCTAACCCTCTGGTTGTGTGTGCCCTGCAGTCGTAGACGAGTGGCGGAAGAGAGGCGGGCAGCCCTGGCAGCTCATTGAACCAGTCGATGGATTCCACCCCAGTGAGGTACGTGCAGTCACACCGCGGTTGCTGAAGGCTATCTGGTAGGTTCATTGTAAAAGGTAGTTATGCATCCATATGTTTGTTTTTATCCCCTTTTACTCCAGAAAGATGTACTCACATGTCTAAGATAGAAGATTCAGTAAAAACCAACTGAAAATCAGAGTAAAAGGCAAGTGAGACCGAAATGATGCCTGGCTTCCTGACTTAGTGTCTGCAGTTTATACCATGTGTGCAGGGTAGTCCTGAGAAACTGCCACCAAGAGCCTGCAGCATCAGCTCTGTTTTCGAGGGGCTGCCCTAAAAAGGGGCATATGTCATGGCCTCCATAAAAGATAATAATAATAAGTCAAATACTCAAAAAAAATCACAAGGATTCCTGGAAGAGAGACCTATGAGAAATTTCTTCTATGGATCTTTCCAGAAAGGACACTGAATGAGAGGAAAACAGTGTCCTTAGCAATATCCTGCAATAAGAGCTGTTTCTTATCTTGCAATAAGAGCTATTTCTTATCTAAGATTCCAGGATACAATTCTGGAAAGCAATTCTAATCTAGCCTCTTCACAGAGCAAGGCGAGCTGGAGGGTGGGACTCTGTCCCCTCCCACCCTCACCCTATCCATTATCCTAACTTCAACCAGGGAAGCTCTGCTTTTATCTTTCATACATACTGGACCTGCTTGTGATGTTCCTTCATATAAAAAAAAAAAAAATGAAAGAAGTATGGAAGTAGTCCTGCCACTTTTCAAATTTTGAAAGCCGGCAATCCTTTGCAACTCTAGTCTTTCTGGCCCAGCCTTTGGTAAGGACGGTGTGTGGCAGTGACAAGGGTCTAAACCGGAGAAGCAGTCCTGGTGTGCTCTCCCCGTGGCCTTGGTCTCGGTGGTCAGCCAGGCCACAGGGAGGGCTGACCATCTCCTTGGGAGCCTGAATGGCTTGACAGCCCACCTTCCCTCAAGCTGCAGGCTCACTGAGTACCCACGGGCAGGGCTAAGAACTCTTTCAAAGGAAACAAAAAAGAGTGCCACTCTATCTACAGATGAATGCACAGTGGAGTCCCACCAATGCTGGGTAAATTGAAAGTGAGCATCAAATGCCCATCTCCCTGTTTTAAACAACTGAAAGAATAAATCTAAGTAATGCGCCTCAGAATATCTAACTTTCCTGTGTAGTGTGTGGATCAGCTGATCCAACAGAATTATTGGCTAGAAGCTGGTTAAATATTAGATTAGAGTCTGCTCCCCACAGAATGATGACTTTTGTCTAAGAATGGTTTTTAATATGGAGACCTTCTTTCTGGCAGTAATTAGGTCGTGGTTCTTGTCATTCCCACATATCACAGAGTTGTACCTTTCTGATTCTAGAGAGAATTGTGGATATGAAAATATGGTCAGAGAAGGAGTTAACTGAGAACAAACTAAAAAGGAGAGGGTCAAAAATAGCTTTTTTTTATCCTTTGGGCCATACTTGTCTGATCCATCAAAAGACAATCCTGTCCCTGACACTTAAAATAATATTACGGTTCAAAGTCTGTTACATTAGGGCTCTATCTTACACTCAAAGAGCTTTGCCTATAACTGATTATTGAGAACAGGGTCAAAAGCTGAAGATCGGTATAGGGGGCGGGGGCATGGCACCGGGCAGACTCAGTCGGGTAGAAGATGCGACTCTTGATCTTGAGGTCATGAGTTCAAGTCTCATGTTGGGCATGGAGCCTACTTAAAATTAATTAATTAAATTAATTAAATTTAATTAAAAATGAATTAAAAATAAAAAAGCAGAAAATCAGTGTGTGCCAAAATCATATGTTATTCCTGAGAGATTTGTTCCTGTGTGGGTAGTAGGTGAAGGCATGGTGAAGCCACATCCAAAGTGGGCAACAATGGGTAGCCATGCATAAAACCTGCCTATTTATCATATATTGAGTAAAGGGTCCAGACTGCAACTTGCCATCCAAAAATGTTTATTGAGTGCCTAACACAATGAGAATTCAAGAGCGAACAAGAAGCTGCCCCTGCCATCTAAGGAGATTATAGTCTAGAGGGGAAGAACGACAAGTGAACAGATAATTAAATATAAAGCGGTTGATGCCTCCAGTTTTGTGAGCATGGGGCTATGGGAGCACTCTGTGGGGTGGATGGAAGAGAGTGGTGTTCGGAAAACTTTCCAGAGGAGCTCACTCAAAACTAAGAGCAAGAGCGAGTCAAGTGCAGGGGATGAGGGAGGGGCTACACAAAGTGTTCTGAGCAGAGGAAACCGCATGGGCCAAGACCTGAATGCAGAAACAAAACAAAACAAAAAGCCAGCAGGGCACTTTGGAGGAAATAAAAGTGCTGCAGTATGGCTGCGACATAGAGAATGGGCGCGGGGTTGAGAGAGAGGAATCAGGAGCACTTACTCAGGGACCAGATCGCATAGAGAGAGGAATCAGGAGCACTTACTTACTCAGGGACCAGGTCGCATAGAGAGAGGAATCAGGAGCACTTACTTACTTAGGGACCAGATAGCATAGACAGAGGAATCAGGAGCCCTTACTCAGGGATCAGATCGCATAAGGTCTGCACGGGATTTGACCTTTTTTCTGTGTGGAAGGAGGGGCCACTGAAGGTTTTTAAGCAAGAAAGGAAAATAACCAGACTTGTGGTAGCGGCTGGAGAATGGTGTGATGGGGCCCAGGGGAGTGGGGAGAAAGAGAAAGGTATGTATTGGACAGATTTACACAGTTGAATCAACAGAACATGGCCATTTATTGGACGTGAATGTGAAAGAGAAAGAGATGTTGGGGCGCCTGGGTGGTTCAGTCGGTTAAGCGACTGCGTTCGGCTTAGGTCATGATCCTGGAGTCCCGGGATCGAGTCCCACATCAGGCTCTCTGCTCGGTTGGGGAGTTTGCTTCTCCCTCTGACCCTCCCCCATCTCATGCTCTCTCTCTCTCTCTCAAATAAAAAAATCTTAAAAAGAGAGAGAGAAAGAGATGCTAAGCATAACACTTCTTTCATGACTTCAGAAATTGGATAGATGATTCTGTTGCTCACTGAGGTGAAGAACACAGAGGACGGGGTGGTTTGAAGAGGAGTTTGGCACACGTTAGATTAAAGGAGCCTGCAGGACATCCAAAATGGGAGTGTATTTTTAGCAGATAATATACAAGCAGAGCTCAGGAAGGGGTCTGCGCGGGAGCTACAGAGGTGTGCACATGAGCACAACATGACTTAGAGCCTGGAAGAGGAGCCTCTTGTCATACCTGCAAACTCCCCTCCAGATAATGCCCCTTACAGCAGAGGCAGTGTTGATGGATCCTTTTAGAACCTTATGTTATTATTTTAAAAACTAATAACTTAAAACTGCCACACATGTGTGCGCATGCACACACACAAACACACACACACACACACACACAAGCAAATGATCCACAAAACATAGGGAGCTATGGGAGTCCACATCTTTTCCATCTTAAAAGAGCCAGATGGGCAAAGTTGGTCTAAGGACCCCATATTAATTGCATGGACATAATACCAACCAAAGGAGTAGACTCAGGCCATGTTCACGTGCACTCCCACCAATTCCTGAACATCTGAGCAAAAACAGTTGGTATGGGCCCTTAACCACCAAGGGGGAAGCAGGCTTTATACTATTAGCCTATTTCTTTCTAAAACCCTACAAGAGAAGTGGTGGGAGTGTTGATTCAATTGTTCCAATTTTCTTAGGAAGACAAGTTTAATTAAGTATAAACATGAGTTGTGTTGAACAGTTCAAATTCATAATTGATACATTATAATTTTTTTAACCAAATTATATCTAAATCTACACCCTTTGCTTATATTTTAATGGAAAATAACCAGGCGTAGAAAAAAAATCTTAGTATAGACTGACAACTGCTTTACCTTTTCAGCTCTCTCCCTAAATGTAGAACCAGAATTTTAAGAAATATCTTCTCCAGTAGGAGGGGAAAAGTAGGTTACAATGCAGACTTGAGAGTTGATGGGATTTGGTGGGTGGGAAGATGACTCATAGGACTGGGCATCTGGATGAACAGAAATGAAAGATACCAAGGCAAGGAACCCCAAAGAGGAAGGGGCAGACTTAAGCATTCTGAATTTGGGGTGCCTGCACAATAGCCAGATGGAACTGTCTAAATCACCATTAGATCAAATTGATGGTTTCTGATCTCAGAAGAGGGGCCTGGCCTGGAGACACAGGTTTGGAAATCATCAGTATCTAATTGAGAACTGGAGACACTTGTAGGAATGAGATTGGCCCACGGGGTCAAATTGTGACCATAGCCCATCACAGAAGGACCCACTGGAGAGGAGACCCAGGAGACAATTTGAGGACTCCAGTAAGAGCAGGTATTGTAGAGAGGGGAGAATAACTGACTGAGACACTGCTGACCAGATGCAGGGAAAGTCCAACTTATAAAAGAAAGGATATGGCAAAGACCCAAGACCCAGGTTTGTGGCCTATGGAAGCCACAGCAATTCTACCAATTCAAATACTCACTTTTTAAAATCTCTGCAAAGCTAAGCCTCTGAAGAGGTACTTAAAAGACCTCTGGGCCTAGAACCAGACAATAGTAAACAGAAAATGTTGGAAAAGCCACAGACATGCATCAAGTCCAGTGTCCCTGGCTACTCTGACACCACCCAGCTAAGCATCCCTGACACTTCCTGCCTTAGCAGCTTTGCCCAGCAGAGCTCTCTGCAAGACCACCGCCTCTCCTCTCATGATGCCAGTAGGCAGCTCAAACCATCCTCCTAAAACTCTTCCTGCAAGCAATACGTTTTCCATGACATCAACTCCCGACTTTTCTCTTGAGCCCTGAAACTTGTACATTGCTGGAGGCAGATATAAGATACTAATCAGTGGATTGGTTCTAAATTACATATATATATTTGGCTTTAACATTTATTACGTATATAATCGGTTATTAAATGTTAACAGCCTCCAGGTCTTTGTTTGTCTCAGCGTGGAAGCCCCTGGAAACCCAGGGTCCTGGGTAGACTTGT